CCCCAAAACCCCAAAACCCCAAAACCCCAGTCAATAATATTAAGAATAAATATTAAAGTATTAATACTATAATAAAATGAGGAAAGTTCAGTATCATCAATATAAATTATATTTTACTCTACTATGTTTGACCTGTTTATCTTAAGCTGAGATCATAAGCATTTACCATAAATCTAATTAGCATTTTCTAGAAGCACCTATGAGTTTATATCTAGTAATTCTTAATAATGTACTTATAAAACCATTTAGGAATAAAACACCTTCAAAGACTAGCAATAAAAGTACTCTTGCTCTTTCTCTGATGGTCCATTTTGTAATGTTAATTAACAATAAGAGGCAAAGGAGACCTTATAATAATTTCAAACAAGTGCATAGCTTGCAACACCAAATTAAATGACTAAGAAATAGTAGTCCGAATCCAAAAAGCAAAAAGATGAGTAGGTTATTCAGTACATAATGACATTCAATATAGGAAAGTGTAGACTGATTAGTATGTGGAGTAGATTAAGGCATTCAATTCTTTGAAATCATATGAGAATACCAACAATATCTACTTAACTACCCTGATTAACTTTGATGATCTCTATGAAAATTTCAAGTATGAGAGATATGAATCAACCTCATTCCCAATTCATGCTTTTGCTATATTTTAAAGAACAAACGTAAAGGGAGTGATCAAGGGTGATATACTGGCTAAATTTTAATAGTAAAATATTTTCAAGGGCTCTAGACTTTTCGACTAAAAGCAGAACTCAAAAAATGGAAAAGGCAGTACTGATCAGTAAAAATTAGCCCAATAACAGCAGTAGCAATAATAATAGGAGACAACTGGTAATTAACCATAACTTGTCTATGCCTACATTCACTCTAAAGAAGTAGAGATAGAATTCAATAAATATGTACAACTCGATCATTTTCACTACAGAATCAATTAGAATCACAGGAAATAATTTATTGAGGCATAAAAAGCATAGAATAATGAAAGTTAAAGTATAAATGATGAGCCAGTGTATTATCTAAGGACTTATGATGGTAGTAGGATTATTCACGATATCATACTAGAAAATGACATGTCAAGCTGGATGAAGATTACATTCCCACGAAGCAAGGTTAATATCAATAAGATAGTAATATCCTAAGGAGTTGAGATGGATAATATCTCTCTTAACTATTACCTCAGAATCAAAGAAAAGCTTACCTTTTAGATCCTTTAGGCTATTCCTGGATTTAATCTCCAGCCCGACATTAAAAATAGTGTAGCAAGAGCAAGTATATCAGATATTAAACTAGGCTTTGAAGAATATGAACATGTTGGATATACCCTAGAGTTCATTGGGGATATGGTCTATATTTACCAGATCGAAAAATATCTGATTGAATATCTCAGTAATAAAGGAGGTATTAGCCCTATAACTAATAAGAACACACTCGATTAGCTCACATCAACAGTAGTGGAAGGGTTGAAGTACTTGGAACATTTGGGAATCACTATATTGTACAATATGAAGAACAATCCATATTAAAACGAAAATTTTGAAATTAATATGCATGTTGCTATTTCATAGAAGTTACTCAATTAGGAGGAGGTTGAGGATGTGGCAAAGACACTGGCAAAGTTCTAAAAAACTTCAATGATGTGAACAAAAGATAGAAGTTTAGCAATCAAGGAGGATCTATAAATACATAGATTATGATTAGTTAAATCGGCCTCAATATTTATGATCGAAATTGTTGTTTAAATAAGTCTTAATTTAATAAAAATTTGAAATTTAATATTTTTCTTGAACACTTAAGTTATAATGGAAGGTGCTGATTCAAATCCAGTAGAGGGCAATTTCACTCTCTAGACTTTCTCTGAGGAAGAACTTTCAAAGGACATTATGTAAGTTTATTGGGATTGCTAGAATGTTGATTTTAGGCTTGTTGGAAAACTTGAGGACTACTGTAGCAGTGGAGAGTTCACTTAGATCATGTAGGAATTCGGAGAACTACATTGTATGAAATTTGAGGCAACAGAGGAACAGGATCTAGAGTATGAATATAATTACATAACACATAATAACTATAGTTGCTACACAATATATCAGGAATATTGCAAGCTCTTAGACAATAAATTGGAAGGTAAAGAAGAATTAGAAGATAGTAATATATGAATATCTTTTAGAATTTTTGAAAAATGAGGGGATAAGAGCTGAAGATATGTATAAGAGTTGTTAACGTGTGCAGTAGATGGAATCTGGAAGCTTAATGTGCTTAGAGTGGATCCTCGCTTCAACTGATTACATAGAATTCGTTTTAATGATGCTACAGTTTAGAGTAAGAAGACTCTTATACATTATATAGCAATCTAATTCTTATTATAGGAAGCAAAAGAATGGGCTAATGATGAAGAAGAGGAGGGAGAGCAAGCTGAATGATGAATTTGATTTTAATCAATGGTTAAGCAAAGCTTTGATGATATAAGCTCTTTGAAATTAGTTAATAATTATTTATTGATAGATCAATCTCGATGAGTTAATAATTGATATCTAGCTTTATGCATCATTATTATTTATCTTTGGGAGGAGAAGAAATAACTGGTGCTTTAATTCTACTTTCTCTTTCATATTCATCGTTTTCAAGCTAGTAGGCAGGGTTAAATTCTTCTATTATTTCTCCTGAATCAAGTTACTTTTCTACTCTTAAATGAGGATTTCTGATGGAATTATCTTTTTCTCCAAGAGAAGTGTACCCTAGGTCATATAACCTACAGTAAGGGAGATCGAAGAATCTTAGGAACTCCCAAACATTATGATAAGACCAGTCTAAAATTGGAAACACTCTGAAAAACTCAGGCCAGCCTGGTGAACTTTTACAAATAGGTTCTAGTTCCCGCGACCATGGATCACTTTTTCTATTGCCCATAATGATGCCTTCAATACCATGCTGATCAATCAACTTCTAAACCTCTCCCTTGAAATCAGATGAGTATAGCTATACCTTAATGTTGTAACTACAAAATAATAAGTTTCTCAATATTTTTTAACTCAATTTGAATTACATTATGAATGAGTTAGTTTATCAGAAAATCTAATTGACTATTCACTCATATCAGTATTTTAAAATCAAGTGTTACTTACTTGTGTTCAATAAAGTTCCTGAATTACTCAATCTCCTCAAATTCATTTTCTTTTACAAAGTGAACATATTTAATTCTTTGCAGCCAGCTGGTTTCTTCTTTGCTTTACCTATCTTCAATGAGACTAGCTGCTCTTAGTAAATGAAGTACCACAGTACAATCCTTTCCACCATTGAAACTTAGTGCTAAATTCTCTCTACATCATATAATGAGGATAAAATTCTTAATGCGTACCCGAAATTTTAAATTGCCTTGGTAAGAACTTCTATTGAATTTTCAATAAGTGCTAGTAAAGCAGGATTTACATCTGACCTTTTATTCTCTAATACATCTAAAATTTCCATGGTAAATAATTAAATTATTATTACACAGTACTATTTGTTAATGACGTAAAAAACTCATTTTGCCGTATTTTAACATAATGGGGTTTTGGGGTTTTGGGGTTTTGGGGAGATCGGAAGAGCACACGTCT